AGCTGTACACAGCACTGCAGGTGGGGTCTGAGCAGAGCAGAGCAAAGGAGCAGAATCACTGTTTCTGCAGTGAGAAGGATGAAGTGGGGACCACTTTTCTGATCTGGATGTGGTCAGCTCCTGGGAGATGAGGTGTGGAAGGAGGCTGATGAATCAGCCCATGGCATGGCAAGGCTGGGACAGCATTGCAGGATGTCCCCTGCAACCTCAGCTATTGTGCCTAACAAGGACTTTATGTGTTTGGCTTGTCCTGGTGTGGTCTTCCTGATGCCTGCACAGGATCAGGCTCGCTGGAGCCCTGAGCTTCAGCCACCACTGCCCACAGCATCATTGGGCTCTGCCACCACAAGGACATACTTCTGACTCCTCTGGTTCATGGGCCCCCAAGCGTGTTCAGTGGGGCTGCTTGCTTGTCCTTCTTGGTGTATGGGTTTTCTCCTTCCTTCCCATGGCAGGACTCTTTTTTCCTCCATCCAATGCTAGCAGGCTCCTATCACTCAGTTTCTCCAGACTCCTCTGTACACTAGTCCCACCCTCCAGTATACCCACTACTGCCCAGTTTGGTATTGCCCCCCAGCTGCCTCATCCAGGGCACTGGTGAAAGCTTCAAGGAGCATCAGCCCCAGGATTTACCCCACAGGGAGGCTGATAGCTGGATGAGGACATCACAGGCACTATCCTGCAGCTTTCCCTCCATCCACCTTCTCCTCTTCTCAGGGACACATCTCCTCACTCTGAGACAGGAGACGACAGGAAACTATGTCCCAGACCTCCAGGGTTCATGACAACTGGCGCCCATTTCTCTCTCCTCCCCCAAGACGCAGTGTTCCCAAAGCAGCAGGCAGGTGAGGCAGTCGTCACCTGCCCTTGGTGTATCTTGCCTGGCTTTCCCCATACACCAGCATGTCTCTCATGGGCCTGGACCATCACATGCCCAGGAGGATATGCTCCATTTACTTCATTGGGACCAAAGCTTTTCTCCGAGTGGAAGAACAAAGCTCAGTTCTGGCACAGGCTGTGGCCAAGGGCAGGTGATGGAAGAAGGAGAAAGAGCAGGACAGGATCCAGGGGTCGCCAGTGACAGGTGTGAGGTGTAGCCAGTAAAACCAAAGGACACCACAAAGGGGACAGTTTGGGGTCACCAATGGCACCATCATACTCAGTTTCACAAGGTGTCACAGGCAGTTTCCAAACCTGCCTCAGCAGCAGGCAGCAGAGGTGAGAAGAGCTTGGTGCCAGCATCCCTTCCCTGTGTCACCAGAGATGGGGCTGGAGGACAGGGGCAGAGCATGCAAACATGGGCTTTAGTGTGGAATGCAGAAATATGGTATCTTTTCCATATCTTGTTTTAAAATGCAGACACTTTCTTTCCCAACCCCATCCCCAAAGTTCTGCAATGCAGTTGAGGCAACGGTGACCCGGGTTATGGCTGTGCAGGTGGGAAAGATTGTCTTTGCTGTGCATCCCCAGCTCCTGTCCCTCAGTCTTCCAATGGAAAGGGGGGTATCAGAGATCACCCTTTGTCTGGGAGAAGAGAGAGGGTCTCAGATAGGCTGCTCAGTTCTGGGTGCTTCTCACAGATCCATGGACGCGTGCTCCAACAGCTGGCTTTGCTTATTTTCCCACCTGATATCATTGCACACTTGTCATATTTGCTGTAGAATGAAAGGAGCGCACAAGAGATGTCACCACCATGGTCCCAGCCCACTGCCACCTCCATTATGCCCCATGAGATCCAGGGTGCCTTAGCCTGGGCAGGAAGGGCATATCACTGCCCATGACTGAGCATCAGGTCCATGGCTGGAACAGGCAGTGCCCAGCACCTCTGCCCACAGCTGGTGAAGGTGGAAGAGGTGCAGGTGGCCAGGATGGAACAGCTTACTCAGCATACAGCATCTTATCTAGATGCTCAGGTTTATCATTCCTCTCTTCAACCCAGTACACAGCACCCAGAGCCTCTACAAATTTCTGAGGGGGAAAAGAGCTGTCAAAGAGCTGTTCCCCATGACCAGAACCTATCTGGTGCCCAGGAGCCCCAGGGAGAGCCAGCACCTGCAGACTGCAAAGACAGGCACCTGGATTTTGTGATGGCAGCCCAGTACTTCTGCAGATGCTACTGACCCACAGGGACTGCCCATCCACCCCATCACCCCCAACCTCCTGGGGTGTATCAGGCCCCTGCTCCGTACCAGCACAGTCCATGATGGCCAGTCTCTCTGCCCAGCACCCCCTCCTTTGGGCCACCGCTCATTGGAGCATAATCTCCTTTGCCAGGGGATCTCAGAAAGGTGAAACAGCACCTCCCTGACATGTCTAAGGGGTGGGTGCTTGTGCCAAGGACACTTACGAGCTGTACTCCTTGCTGTCCAGCCATACAGGAGACCCCATGTAAGACATTCTTGCTCCAACCCA